CCCTCTCCCCCCCTGCCCCCACACACGCGCGCACACACACACACACACACACACACACACACACACACACACACACACACACACACGGACATGACATTACACCCCCCCCCCCACGCACTGTCCCATAGAGACAAAGGCTTAACAAATGTTTTATTTGACTGTATATTCTGACCATTTGTGCCTGAAATGCTTCTAAAAGCTGGACGCAGATTATCCCCCCCGCCACCCCCTTGTCCAGGGCTGGAGTCCCCTCGGAACCACACACTTCCTTACATTCCATAAGTGGCTGTATGAATATGGGGATATAAGGAAGCATGTCCTCCCAAGGGGCAACGACAACTGGATCCTGCGTGAAACACAAGGGGCCCTTTCAACGCATCAGACAGAACAAGAACCCCCCCCTAAAAAATCAAGCAAAAGTGTAAAACTGAGAGGGGGGTGACTGCATGACACTAAAAGTGTCTTCGAGGACCCAGACATGTTTTTCCATTTTAGAGTATTTTTGACGCGGGTCTCACTAAATTTGCCCCAGCTGAACATAAGAAGGCAACATTACGACTTTAAGACACCCTCTGGTTCAGGTTATTGCAGAAAAACATCCTAGTGCGCACCACCCCCCACCGAAAAAAAAAAATACTAACCTCTCTCTGGTTTCACTTTGAAGCCGAGTTAACAGTAGCTGGTCTTTACAGAAGTGTAACCTCATTTTTGCCTGTGTCGATGCCTTCCCTCTTAAGCATCAGGAATCGTAAAACAAGAACAACAACAAGCGAAAAAAAGAAATGCCTCGTTTTCAGCATACGTGAAGGTGAAATCGAGCATCTCTGTCAAAACATTTCGTGACAAGCACAACTGGCCCCCGCTCCCGTCCGTCCAACCGTGCTGCTGCGGCCCGGCCGCTCGGCCTTTTCTATCCCACCCGGGCGAGGCGAGCCGCCCCCGCCCCAACTCCGGAGTGGCCTCCCACCTGTCGGTGTCCTTTAGGCGCGGCGGGGGCCTCTCCTTTGCGCCCGCTGTCCGGCCCAATCAGGGCCCCGCGACAGTGGGGAGCTGGCCTGTGAAATCACACCTCTCAGCTGTTCACACTGGCCTCCAGACACCCTACACCCCGATGCCTTGAGCCTCGCGCTATAGCACCAAGCGCCCCCCCCCCCCGCCACACCTTTTCCCCTGAAGTTCAAGGGGTTTTTTTTTTTTTTTT